CCTGTGAATTCCCTTCCTCCTCTGTATTCCCAACAGAGGAAGGCGATACTCTCGATTCTAACAACTCCTGGGAGATTTCAATGTAAACAGCCTCATCAGTCTAGAAAGTACCCCAGCTGCTGCTTTAAGATTAAACTTGGTTCATTTGCTTCATACTTGAGGGCTGGTCTCCAGGTTATTCATAACCCTTTACCCATTCAACATTATCAAAATCAGGAACCAAACTGCTGGATTCAAGGATAAACCTGTGTGCTTATGGGAACATTAAGATTCAGAAGTAAAATCTGCTGGGTCTATAAAGCCCCTTCTCATCCTCAAACCTATACCCACAGTAATTATTAGGAACCTTGATTCAGAATAGACCATGAGAAAGGCTTGGAAAGGAGACAGATGGAAATTTATACTCACCCATCATTCTAAAAGACTGGGATTAAGATTTAGGTTTTGGGTTAAGTTCAGGATTCTGGTACCACAACCTCAGTTACCTATTGTCATTAAAAACACCCCTATTTAAGGGTTAGTAAGAACAAGACCCATTTAAGTTACTACTACTTCCCTATTAAGTTTTTTCCAATTTTGAAACTGTCAAAATTGAAGTTTAATTTTTCAACTGGGTTACTAAAAGGTTAATGCCCAATAAGCTTGGGTTGAATATCACATTTGTAAAATATAAAGCATGTTCCTTTGCCCAAAAGGAACTAGAGTTGCATTTCTTTGGTTAAGAGTGGCCTGGCTCAGAGCATTCCTTATGGCATCTTTGAGGTGTGTCTTTGCTTAGTGGCAAAATGTACACATCCCATAAAACAAACACTTTAAGACTGAAACCACTGTTTCTTGCAACACCTTCAAACCCCACTGAGGAAGAGTTAACTATGACCTTTTCCTGGTTACCTTCTCCTGGAGGGAACTTTTTTTATTTTATAGAAAATAAGCCCTCGTAGTTTTTAGAGAACTAAAAACTCTGCTTAAAAAAAAAAAAAGTCCCCATTAAGGATAGAATTCTGCAGTGCAGGGGACCCATCATGCTCTCTGGAGACCACAAAATGCCTTTCCTTCTTCAGAAACCATGTAAAGGACCATTACCTCTAGCACACCTGTGGTGAGGCACAAAGAGGTTTTCTGATCTACTCCAATGGAGATGGCAACTCTCCCTAATTATTTAAGAATAGAGAAAATTAAATCACTTAAGAACCCTAGAGTGGCAGCAAAATAGAACCCACGAGATATCCGGCTAGCATGTTTAAAGACTTATGAAAAGTCACATTCTATCAGCCCCGGTTGATGGCTTGGTGACAACAGATTTTTCTGAATATTCATGTGTATATAGAGACATATGATTAACAAGTTGGAGTGAAACTCTCAATGACCAGCCATTTTATAGTAGGACCCAGAAAACAGGCAACCTCTTCCTTCCAACATGGTGGATCCGCTATGTTTTTTCCCCCCACATCTAGAAAATCCATATCCTGAGATAAACAGGATACTACCAAGAGTTAAACACCTTCCAGCAAAACTTCCATTTTAACGTAGAAAGGAAGGGACACTCTAACTCCACTTCCATAAAGCAGTTCTTCTCAATGGCGTTTGTTATTATTAAGAATGGCCCATCGGTGTAGGTCAGATTTCAGTAGAGAGCATTATCTTCCATTTTGGGGAAATAGTTCACATAGTTCTAAATCTTTCTGCTCAGCAAATTCTGAGAAGACGAAATAAGGCAGAGAACTACAGGAGAAACGTCCCTATAGGAACGCCACTTTTCATTTGTATGTTATTTGGCTTTTGTGAACACTGTCTCAGGAGACCCAGCAAGATAAGCCGATCGGGTATTATTTCTATCTTACAGGTGAAGAAATGGTGACTCTGAGGCTAAATGACTCATTTGCCCAAGACCACCAGTCAGGTAGTTAATTAGTAGCCCAACCAGGAGATAAGCCTCGTCCTCTGACTCACAGGCCAGTGGCATGATGGGAGGCAGCAGAGCGTAATGATTAAGAGCCCAGGTTCCGACTCTGGACAACGTGCATTCCAATTCCAGCTGACTTGTGTAGGTTCCTTAACCACCCCCCAAACCTCAGTTTCCTCACCTGTAAAATGGGAATAAAAAGTCTTACCTTGTAGAGTTATAGTGATGATTGAATGAGACGATGGACACAAGACACTCAAATTCATTCATTCACTCAACAAATATTTGTGCCAGGCACATACAGTACAAGAGTTACAGCAGTGATCAAGAAGCACAATCCCGATCTCATGGAGCTTAAAATTTAGTCGAATTAAAGAGAAAAAATAAATGGATAAATAAAATACTTATAAAGTATAAGTGCTTTTAAGGTAACAGGTGACTGGAGAGATGAACAGGAAGGAGCCAATTTTTAAGAGTGGTCTTCTGAGGAGAAATTTAAGTTGAACCCTAAGGGATCAGAAAGAGCCACCCATGTACAGAATGACAGGAAAAGCATTCCAGGCACAGGGAACAGGGCGCGCCAGGGTCACAGACCGTGCCCGTGCAGGAACCAAGAGAAAACAAATGGGACTGCTGAGTATCCTCGCAGGAGTTGGGAAACAACCTTTACAGGCTGGCTGCCGAGGATTACACATCTATTTTTAAAATAGCAAAGATGAGGCTCAAGAGAGGAGGAGTCTCACCCAAGGTCACAGCTACTCAGAGGACCTGGAACCCCAGGATTCTTCCTCCCGATACAACATCAGCTTGCTCCCTTTGAGGAAGCCTCTTTCACACTAAACTCCCCCACTTATTTTACTGACAACTATTTTCTGTGCCCAAGAAGAGTTTCAAAGCACCCTGAAAACACAAGCAAGAGCATAGCATCAACTTCCAGGCATCTAGTCAACTGTACACCAAAATCTTTACCCTCTACCTTTACAACACAAAAGCGGACACTGCTCAGGCGTTACTCAAAGGCTCCAAAATAGAAATGAGTTTCTCTTCTTAGAGGAAAGGGATGTATGACCTGGAAGGAAGACCTCTTGGCCTGTTCCGGAAGGGGAGATAGAACCACCATTGCAGAAAAGCAGAAAGGTGAAGGTTCATCTCAAATGAACTGCACAGGACAAACTAAGTACTTTATTTGAATAAAAGAAGATATTCTTAAAGCAGTGGATCTCAACCAAGGTGGTCCCCCTTCTCTCCCACCAAGAGCATTTGTGGGGGCATTTAATGGGCAGGGCCTGCTATGCTGAATATCTTGCAAAAGGGCAGGAGGATCCTATAAAGAATGTTATTACCCAAAATATTAATAGCAGCCCCCAACACATGCTTTAATATTAATCCTTTAAGGGATTAATATTAACTTTCCCTGTATTCCCATGGTTCAGTACTTCCTACCCTTACCAGTTGGATGAAGAAAAAAAAAATTAAACTATAGTTTCGCTGCTGAGGAATCTGAAAGTTTGGAAACAAACTGTAAGCTCACAACTCCAGCATGGAACCTGGTGGTGGAATAAGAAAAAATAAAATTTCTAATAAGAGACAGGCAAGAGATTTTAACAAACCGAGAACTCCCCCAAACAATCCTCTATGAGATTACATTTGTTTTGCAACACACAAAATTCTGTGATTTTAGAGAACCTTCTGATAGTGCTGCTCAGTTTAAAATCAGATTCTAATGACAGCTCTTTTAAAAATTTAACCACAGTCATCTCGCAAATACAGCTGCCTCTTTTATACCAAATTTTATAAGAAAGATTATTTTAAAATGTCTAAAGCTCATCAAATGTCTAAAAGTTCCAAAGACAGTCACATCTTGCATCTCATCAGGGTAGAGTCTGATATAGGTCTGAGAATCACCAATGATATCTAGAGGCCTGCTCAGGGATTAAAATACCATTCTTGCAATTCAAAAGCCACTTTCAAGTATTACCTGAAATGCCACTATCTACCTACCCCCGCCCAAAAAATTATTTCACAAATTAAAGTTTATAGAATTGAAAAAAAAAAAAAAACCCAGACTGTTTCCAGAAATAAAAGCTAATTAATAAATAGTGGCCCCACACCCCTTTTGACCAATTTTCTAGAAGCCTAACCTGGCTTCTCAGGTTAGCTGAGCAGACAGACCTGTTTTCCTCCAGAAGCTCCTGCCAGTCAGAGCCTGGGAAATCCTCCTCCAGCTTTTTGCTGGCCTGTCACCAGAAGTTCACAACATGAATTCTTCCAGATTCTTTGAATCCTCATCTTCCCCTATAATGTACCAACAGCCTGGCAATAAAATCCCACCTCTCAATTACAAAAAGATACAGGTTATCTGGAAGAACAAGCACTTAGCATGGAGGGGAAGAAAAAAGATGGAAGGATGTGAGAGTCACTGAGTCAAGCCTGCTGCATGCAGCACAGGTGACCAGAGCCCTAGTCCTTCCAAGCCTTGGGGAGAGGCTCCCGGGCTGGGCCCTCCACTCAGCAGGCCACACCTGTCTATGCCAGCAGCCTGCTGGCTGCTCCATTTTAAACAATTCAAACAGATCTCCAGCAGGGTGGCAAAACTGAGCGCCTCTCTCTCCCAGCAAGAGCGAGAGCCCTAATCCAACCACCACTTGCCCCCAATTTTATTTCTTTTCACTCTCTTTGTTTGGGAGACACTGCTTGGTCAAATTGGATCTCTCTGAAGAGCTGGGGAAGGCACGATGCTGCAGTGACAGAAAGGAAGCGCCAAGGCCCACTTGCTATAAGCCTGGCCAGACCTCTTCTCTGAAGACGCTGATGCCAATAAGTGGGACTTCAATAGGCAGGTTTCACTCTGCCCATCCACAAGTGAACCAACGCCTGAGTCCTCAAACGCCCGGCTCTGCAGCCTCGCAGAAAGCCTCTTTTTTAGAGGGTCGTTATCTCGTTATTGCCTTGGCTTGAAGAACCAAGGTAAGACAGACAATTCCAGGTCGTACACTCCACATCCAAACCCTGGCACGCGCACCAAGGTTTGGGGCGCCCAGATGCGCCCTGCGCTGCGCACCACCCTCCGAGGTTTCCACCACCCGCGCGGACTCACCACTGTGCGAGCTGAACCACCTGGGTGCGATGTGCAGAGGTAGAGCATCCGCCAGCGAGGCTCGGGAGCCCAGGTAGAGCATCCCGTCTCTATGGTGACCGCCGCCCGTCTCCTGGTAACCATTGCCGTGAGCATAGGTGGACTCAGACGCGGACCCTCCGCCGCCCGGCGCCCTCTCGGAGTCGCCGGTCCCCCGGGAGGCGGGAGTGTAGAGGCCAAAGGGCACCCCTCCGGCCGTGCTGGGGTCCATGCCCATGCCTGCCACCGAGCTGACCGAACGGCTGCGAAGACCCATGGCTCCGCCACCCGCCCGGTAGTGCCCAAAGTGGGGCGCCCCTCCTGGCGGGGGCACGGCGCTGTCATCCGTAGAGACTCCCGGGAAGGGGCCCCGGGAACGGGCCGCCGTGCTCTGCTTGCCTCCCATGCTCGCCCGGGCCCCGGTGGGGCGGGAACCTGGAGGCCGAGACCCTCCCCCCCACTTCTTAGCAGCGGGGAGAGGGTTGGGCGAGCATAAAGGAGGAAGGAGTCAAAAAGGAGACCGGGAGGGAAAAAAGAAAAAAAAAAGAAAAAGAAAAGAAAATCCGCGAGGCGGAAGAGGCAGGCGGGCGGGGATCCCAAACTAAGAATTTAAAACGATCCAAGCCAAACGCATGTTTCCCCTCAAGGTCCAAAGAGGCGCAGTCCGGCGCGGGATCTGCGCGCCACAGGCCGCCCCCGGGCTCCCGAAAGCCGGGGGAGCCGCAGGGAAGGAGGGAGGGAGGCGGCGGGCGAGCGCGGGGAGGCGCCGAAGGAGGCCGCCCGCCCGACGGAAGGAGGCAGAGAAGGGTTGGGGGCGCCGGGTGCGTCCCCAGCCTCAGGACGCCGCGACCATGGACGTCGGCCCGGACCCCTCCAGGCCTCGGGCGAGCTGCGGCGCTGGGCGGCCAGGCGGAGCTCGGGAAGCCCCGGGCGCGTTGCGTCGTGCTCTCGCTCCAGCCGCCGCCGACCCGGC